AATAAATAGTTATAAGAGTTTTTAGACGGACGAATTTTTTGTTAATTTTTGTGCAATGGATTTGCAGAAAGAGTTCTTCTATGAATCATTATTTTATATTCATTAGTTAAAATATCTGTAAGATTAATTTTTGCATTAAGTCTAATTTTTTCATAGTAAGTATCATTATAAAACCAGAGTTTATGGTAGTTATCATTTATCATATTAACAAATGATTTTAAACCAATTATTGCAAGATATGTGTTTACATGTTTTGTTTAAAATAAGTAGTCCAATGATCAATTGTATGATTAATAATTTCATTAATTTTATTTTCAGATAATTTATTCATGAGTTTATTATTTTTTTTTGTAAGTTAAATATTAAATTTATAAAAAAAAATAAAGCTGAAATATTTATAAGTATATTTCTATAATTAAAAAAAAAAATAAATATAAAGAGAAATTTTACCTTTTTTTTTTTAAATAAATAAAAAATGTCATCAAGTAATTTAAATCAAAATTCAACATCTTCTGAACCAAATTATGGAGTTCTTGAGATGTTAATCAAGAAATTAGATCAACTTGAAATTTTATTATTAGAACAAAATAAAGAAATTATTAATTTAAAAAAAAAAGTTAAAAAACTTAAAAAAAAATCTGTTAATGATAATGAAAAACAACAAAAATATGATAAAGAATTAGATGAACTTAATAATAAAGAAAAATCTGCAACTGAATTTATCAAGTTTTATAAAGATCAATGATTGGGTGGTATTGAACGAGGTATCATTGAAGGAAATAGAGTTTTTCCAGTTATAGGTGGTGCTGTTGGTGGTTTATTAGCTGTAGGTATTGGATATAGTAGTATTAGTACTGTAACAAGTTTATATCAAAATGAAAAAACTGAAAATTTATTAAAAAAGGCTTATGAAAAATAATTTAAAATATTTGTAAATTTAAAATTAATTATCAATTAATTTTATTATATAAATAATAAATCAAATAAATTTTTATTAAAATATTTAAATATTGATAAATAATGCCAAAAGTTATATTCAAAAGACTAGATCTTAGTAAACCTAATGAACCTTTAGTTGAACAACAAGTTCATGGTGTTGAAATTAATGATGAAGATGAAAAAGAAACTGAAGATGAAAGTGAAGAAGAAAAAGATTTTATATCAGATGAACGTATAAAAGAGATAAAAACTTGGATTGATAGTACTAAACACTATAGTTTATCTGGAGTTTTTAATTGTTTACGTATAGATTTTCTTAAATTAATTGAAGAAAGAAAATATATAATAAAAAAATTAGATGATATGGAATCAAATGTTGATAATTTACTTGAACAAAATACTGAATATGAGAATATAATTACAGATTCAATGGAATTATATAATGCAGTTTTACAAAATTTAGAAATAGATTATGAACCTAGTAGTTTAATTGATGGTTTAAAAAGACTTAAAGAATATAGTAAGATTGTTAATTATCCTGAATGATCTTTGATGTAAAAAAAATATTTAATAATAAAAACTAAATATTTATTTAGGATGAATTATTATTTTTATTTATTAAAAACATTTTTAAAAAATATATAAATATTTATTAATACAAATATATTAAAAAAAAAAACAAAATAAATAAAATAAAATTAAATTAATAATGCCAAGAAAAATTCAAGAAAAAAGTAATACTGAAGAAGTTGAAAGTAATATAGATATCAGTGATATTGAATTAATATCAAAAGAACGTTTAAAAGAAATAAAAACCTGGTTAGAAGATTCTAAGGATTATAAAAAATCTGGAGTTTTTAATTGTTTATATGAGGATATTTCCAATTTAGTTCAGGAAAGAACATGTTTTGTAAAAAGAATAGATAAAGATGGAAAAGATATAAATAGTTTATTAGAACAAAATACAAGTAATAAAGATATAAATGAAAAAGCATTTTTAATGTGTATTACAATTTTTCAATGATTAGAAATTAAACCACCACCTACTGAATTACTTGATGGATTAAAAACAATTGCTGAATATGCTGGTTTCATATCTTATCCTTAATCAATAATTTATTTTAAATTTAAAATGTTGATTAAAAATAGATTAATACTTGATTTATATTTTAATATTATTGATATATTAATATATAAGATATTTGAACTTGATATTTTATATATAAAAAAACCTATTAAAACTATAAATGGAATTTTGTATACATGTAAAGAATTTAATATTTATTTTAAAATTAACTTTACAAAATATTTTTATAATAAATTTGGATTAAGTGAAAAAATATTTTCTATTGAATGTGTTTGAGAAAAATGTATAAGACAAAGTGAAGATTTATCAAGACAAATATTTTTTTGTGGCAGTATATGGGATTTATTAAATGCATATAAATATGATATTAAACAAGAAAATTTATTTAGTTGAATTAATAGAAATAATATTCCTAATGTAACTCTTGAATCTAATAGTTTATATTTAGATAGAAATCATTATAAAAAAACATATAATTATTATTTTATAATGGAACATTATAATAAATTACATAATGTTAAATTATTTTTTTACAAGATTCACGATGATTATAGGTTTTACTTATTTAATCTATTTTCTAATATAAATATATATTCTTTAGGTTCTTTTTTAGAAATATTGAATAAATCTTTATATGGAGAATTAGTAGAAAATATTAAAATATTATGTTTTATATATTCAAAATTTGAATTTTATTTTACTTTACGATATAGATTTTTATATTTATTTATTTGTAATGTTTGTAAAAAATACAATGTTTATACATTTCAAGGAGAATGGCGAATATTACTTGTTTGTTTAAAATATTATATATTAAAAATATTAAAAAATAATAAATTAATAAAATATAAATAAATTAATAATAAATATTAAGATTTTTAATTTCAATTATTAATTTAAACATTGATAAAAATACAAAATCGAATGTAATAAATTAAAAAAAAAAATGTATTTCAAAAGTTATACCTATTCATATTCATATTCTAGTAGTAATAGTTATGAATTTGAACCAAACAATAATTTATTTGATCAAGTTTTTAATTTTTCTAATAATTTTCCTTTTGATATTAATATTAATAACACAAGTCATTCCAATTTTTCACATAGTAAAAATTATTCTAAATCTTGGACAAACGATATTTTTAATTTTTTAAAAAATTTATTTATTTTCAAATTTATTTTTATTTCTATAATTTATTATTTTAGTATTTTATTGTTAGTAAATTTTCTAGAAAATATTAATTTTTCTTAAATTTCTTTTATTATTAATTTATTTGATTTGTTTTTCGTTTTAAGTTTAATTTTATATTATAAGAATTATTAACAAATAATATTAGAGAAAAAAAACAATGGATTTTGATCCTTATTATATTGAGACGTTTGATTCTTCATATGATATTTTTTATATTATATTAATATTATTTATTATTTTATATTTTTTCATTTTTTTATTGTCTTTTTTATTTCATTTTCATTTACTTTTAAATTTATTTTATTTTTTTTATTATTTTTGTATTTTGAAATTTTTATTTATTTGTTGGAAGAAAAGCAAAGTTTTAAAATTACATGATAGAATTTTTTTAAACCAAATTTATAAATCGAAAACAAGAAGAAATTCAAATGACGAAATCAAAGAAAAATTTTAAAGAAATCAAATAATAACAAAGAAGAAGAAACATTAAACATTTTACAATTTTTGCGAATTTAAAAAATTAATAATTATATCTATATTTTCGTTAAAAAGTTTTTTTTTAACTTCAACCTCAACTTGTTCATATAAAAGTTGAGTATTCATTTTATGGATATTTGTTGTCCACCAAATATAACTACCAAAAAATATCATAATGAAAATGATTATAATAGTTAAGATAAACAAAAATTTCTTGTAAAATTTAGTATTGTTTCTTAAAGAAACTAAATTTAAAGAAAATTAGTAAAATATTTTTAGTTATTTTTTTTATAAATATATTTACCGATAGTTTCTTCTAATAATTTTAATCTTGTTATAAAAGGTTAAAATTCTTGAGCAATACGATAACTCAAATAATTTGCATCAATATTTGTATTTTTTGGAACTTGTACACATTCTATATTATTAGACATTATGTTAATTTTTTTTTTAACAATGTAGTAATAAAAAAAAAATGAAAAAAATTAAAGATTAAATACCAGCTTGTGTTATTTCATCATATGCTGAAGGAAGATCATTTATCGGCTCAGAAATAGCCGTTACAAATGAATTTGTATTTTGAGAATAATTTTCTTCATTTGTGAAAGGAAGATTTTCATAAATCTCTTGTTGGTTTGGTGGAATTCTACCAGAATCAGTTCTAAAAATTGTATTCGACATAATTGTATCAATGAGAATTAAAATGTAAATAATTTATGCAAACATGAAGAAAGGATATGAAATTTTGGATTGTGTAAGATAGATTTTTTTTCAGAGTTTATAAGCGAATGTTTGTATCATTTTGATTTATTTAGAATTTGTTTATCAATATGTATACGTTACATTATAAAACAAGAATACAAAGAAAATATGTATTGTATACGTAAAGATTTACAATCATGATTAATTTAGTAATGATTTTAATTTTTACATTATTAAAAATTTTTTTGGGGATTTGGGGTAAATACATCGTCTTAAATAAGAATATAAATAGTAATTCTTTTCATATAATTTTTATTGGTTACAGATATATGTACGATAATGTTTAAAGAATAATTTATTTTATTTAGAGTATTTTATTTTTTATTTAAAATTTCTAATATTAAATCAAGTTTTTTATCATTTTCTTTTATTTCTATTTTAAGTTCTTTAATTTCTTTTTTTAATTCATCATTAAGATTTTCTAATTTTTCATTATGGGTTTTTAAAATCTTATTTTCAATTTTATATTCTAAATATTTATTTTTTTCTTGTTCTAATTTAATCTTATTATTTATAAGTATATTTTCATATTCATATACTTTTGGAATAAAATCTTGAATTAAACAAATACAAATTTTATTTTTATCACCTATATAATTTTTTAATTCATTAATTGCATAATCAGTTAACTCAACATTAGAAACAAAAAATGCAATGTGATAATTTGTTTTTCTTTTAGCTATATTTAGAAATTCTCTTATTTCAGATACATAAATTTTATAATTTTCACTTTTATATTTACATTGAGCAAACCAAAAAAATTCTTTTAATTGACCTATTGAAAAAAAATTGCTAGTATATCATTTCCCTAAAACCTCAAAATAAGTATTATAGGTGATTTCAAACAAGTTGAACCTCACGGAATTTACACTGGATGACACTGCCAGTCTGTTTGACTTACTCAACTATAAAAACTATATATTTTTTTTTTTTTTTAAATATTAACGGTGAGGCCATGCCTTTAACTTTATTGAAATTCAATTGAAGTTTTTACA